CCCCCCCCCCTGGAGCTTAAGGAAGAAGAGGCTGATTGAGAATCAGGTGAGTGTATCTGCTTTATTTAAGCCCCCTAGACTAAAATGAGCAGATAACCCTTGCTGTGAGGCTACCCATTTCTTTTTGTTTAGTTCTTTAAATCATTTAGGTAATAATTACTTTACAAGATACTTTGTATTTCACCTAAAACATGATCTTAGCCAGGTGGGGTCTTGGCATCTTGTGCAGTGTAATTGACAGGTACTGAAGCTGATTCTGAATTAAATATACAATATGTGTCCGTTGTCTCGATCAGATTCCAGCTGGTATCTTTTTACTGTAAAGTGAGAGATAATCTAATTGCCAGCTACGAGCTACTGAGATACTTTTCTTTAGATTGTATTAACCAAAGTGTACACCTTCAATTCTATATTAAAGGGAATGCAAACCCTGACAATAAATGCTTCTTATTTGGTCCCTTTTTGGGCTGTTAAATTATTCAATTAAAAGTGTGTGTCTATCGATATCTATATTGTGTGTGTGTGTCTATCTATCTATCTATCTATCTATCTATCTATCTATCTATCTATCTATCTATCTATCTATCTATCTATCTCTGCTTGATGAGTGCAAAAAACAAAACCAATACCTGTTCATTCTTCCAGAAAGCTTGTGAGCTGATAAAGTCCTGTTTTCTCTGGCACTGAAATCCCAAGCACTGTTATCACCTCCTATCCAGTTTTCCTCCCCCCCTTTCCTCTGAGCCCTAGCAACCTAGGGTGACAAAGCTGCCTCTCCGAAAATTAGGGATGCACCGATACCGGTTTTTCGGTTATAGAGTATAAATACCGATATTTGTTTTTGGGTACTTGTCAATACCGATACCGGAAGTCCCATTAAGAAAGCCTGGGCAGCGTGTAATGACTCGCCGCCCTGCTTCCTGATTAGCCAGGAATTAATCTCTCTCCATGCTCCCTCGTCACCAGCTGACGAGGAAGCATGGAACCAGCTTTCTGGCCAATCTGGAAGCTGGAGATTGGACAGGGAGCTTGGAGCAGGCTTCCCAGCCAATCAGGAAGCTGGGCAACGTGTAATGATTTGTGCCCGGCTTCCTGATAGCGGAACTTCCGGCATCGGGAGCATTTTGGGTGGGTACGAGTACTCACCCAAATATTCGGTATCAGGACTGATACTAGTATCGGTATATCCCTACCTAAAATACAGTACAGTGAGCATTGTTCAAAATGAATCGTTGTGAACAGGAGTTCATGGCATTATGCTATATGGATGTGATGAAAATATAGTTGTGTTGCAAGAAGCTTTCCTTTTTTCTTTTGTATGTTCGTTTTGAGATGATCAGAACATATTACATTTTGGTCACCACCGCCAAGGCTGCTTCCTGTGCTAATACAATGTGCTTAATTTTCTAAAGGAGTATAAAATGTACACTTAGCTTTACTTTATGGCCAGAGCTGTGTTGACTTTCAGTACTCAAATATGTGCAGAAGAATTAAAGAAAAAGCAGGATTTTGTCTTGTAATGTGATTGGATGACGGAGGAGTGCCAGCCTCAATCATTTGATGATGATAACTAATTGCTTGCAGGGCAATTACTTTCATCAGGACTTTATCTCAAGTGGTGTCCCTAAAAGTCGGCAAGGGGCATTGCCTTGTGGCTCATCGGCTACATCATAGACACAGAAGGAGAGGGCAAGAATGCTCATACCCCTTACTAGAAAGCATAGTTGCACTCATGAAATGCTAGGACCTAGCACTGGAAGGCTGGTTACTATTGTTCCTGTTCTGTTTCTTTTCTTATCAAGTATACCTGTTGCTCTTGCTATGCGAGATTACAGGTGAGGGGAACAGATAAGGCATGGAGGGGCTATGGTAGAGCATATGGAGGAGTTACACACCTTAAAACATTGGTGTTTCTACTGTGAAAAGAGTTTTGTAAATACAAAGCCCCTTATTGAAATGTTCATTCTATTATTTTCAGTAAGCTGGAAGAACTAAAGTGTATAAATATGTTTTGTTAGATATTCACCCCGTTATATATTTTATTGTGCAACCCCTTTGTGATGTTACATTATCTGCACCATTGCTTCTCTTGTCCTTTAAAACTGATGTGTAATATTTTCTGTTTTTATGGCTAGGTTGTTCAGCACTCGGTGTCCCCGATGCCAAGGCACCTTGCCACGTTCAGAGCTGGTAATGCGGGTTGGGGAGCGAGTCTATCACACTGATTGTTTCAGATGTTCGGTCTGTAGTCGACGGCTTCTGCCGGGTGAGGAGATCAGCCTCAGAGACCAGGAGTTATTGTGCGGGGCAGACCATAACATTCCAGGTATGGAGGAATAATCACTACCTACAAGCCAGGATATTTCACCTATTGATTCCACATAGTAGATTTGTTCTATGCATGTCAAAATGCCTGTTATGCCATTGTTTTTACACATTTGCCTTTTACTAGAAGCTCAGCTGGGTATTCAAATGAAAATAATACTTTGCACAAAATATTTATATAGCTTATATAAACAGTCCTATAGTATATTACACATACAGACTCCATCTTTAAAGTGAACCTGTGTCCAGATGCTGCACACTAAACTAAATATTCTGAACAAGCAGTAAAAGCAATAGATGCACGTTGAAAAAGCTCTTGCTCACCTCCTGTAGCTATCGGTATTGTGGAGAAACTCATCTTCAAAGGTACTCTTCAATTTTTTGCTATTACTGTCTATTGCAATAGGATCTTGGCAGACAACCAGCAGATGTTTAAAATGGGCTGAAAGCTACCTTAAGGTGGCCACGCACCTTACGATTATCGGACGACCCTTTTCGTCCGATGATCGAACCGTCGTACGATTGTCGTACGACGGCCCCATTATGTCCCGATTTATGGTAAAGTTCAATTAGGCGTGATTAAAGAAAAGCACCTGGAAGAATTGCGGTAATCAACAACACGTATTTTCGTTTGCGCATGAGCAGTGTAGATCGTACGATTTTTGACTTACGGAAACGCCACTAACCTTTCAATAATCGTACAATCGACCAAAGTTTTCAAACATGTTTGTACGGTATTTGCGGTTGCACACTGCCCACACACCTTGCGATTATCGGACGAAAAGTCGATCGCATACGATTATCGTAAGGTGTGTGGCCACCTTTTAAAAGAGGAACTTTACCCCCTATCTTCAAAATGACAACAAAGACGCCTTTTAGAAATCATTAGTAATGACAATCTACAAACACATACTTCCAGATAATCGATTTTATTCTTTACATACCTTATTTTTATTTTTTTCCCCATTCTTCTCACAGTGGCCATTTCTACCAAGGGTAGATTACTATATCCCCCTTTACTTCCTGGAACTCTGGCACATATGACTAGGACATGTGACCATGCACATCATCTCAGGGGAGGAAAATGCCTTTCCCTGAGATCTCATGAGATTACAGATGAGATTTCCCAGCAATGCTCTGCTGATGTAACCTTCCCAGGATGCAATGCTTGGGCACAATTACTTAATTTGTGCCAATGTGGACCAGGAAGTGGATAAACACTATTTGTAAGTAAATTAAAAACATGTTTTTTTAAATTGATGGATGTAAGATGATTTTAATTCAGCATGCAGAGCTGTATGCTCATGTGATTTTTAGTTAAAAGGGGATAAAGGACCACTTTAAGAGATTTCAGAATTACTTCACAATATAATCAGCTAGAAAAGTCAATTATGGCTTGTTTTTAATGTTCATAGTGTATCTGTGGTCAGGCTATGGGAATTCAAATATTTGCATATACCTAACTAGCTTTAAAATAAGCCCTCCCACACAATCCAGAAAAAGGAAATAAAGAAAAGTGATTTCAATGAGTGTCCTGGATTGTGTGGATTTAGTTACCTTGGCTTGGAGCACTGGGACCCACTACTATAGTTCCACAGAGGAATAAGTGTGCAAATCTCCAAGGGCATCCTCTTCTATATGCATAAGTCTGCGCTCCCTCTAGAGACACTAATGGTGAGTGCCACATATCTTTTGGGATGAATTAAAATAAGCCCTCACTAACCTCCTGTAGGTTTATCACCTTTACCCTCAGCTTCTTTAGCAAGGCAGTGGTCGTCTTGGAGGTGTGTTTGGGGTCGTTATGTTGGAATACTGCCCTGCGGCCCAGTCTCCGAAGGGAGGGGATCATGCTCTGCTTCAGTATGTCACAGTACATGTTGGCATTCATGGTTCCCTCAATGAACTGAAGCTCCCCAGTGCCGGCAGCACTCATGCAGCCCCAGGCCATGACACTCCACCACTATGCTTGACTGTAGGCAAGACACACTTGTCTGTGTACTCCTCACCTGGTTGCTGCCACACACGCTTGACACCATCTGAACCAAATAAGTTTATCTTGGTCTTATCAGACCACAGCACATGGTTCCGGTAATCCATGTCCTTAGTCTGCTTGTCTTCAGCAAACTGTTTGCAGGCTTTCTTGTGCATCATATTTAGAAGAGGCTTCCTTCTGGGACGACAGCCATGCTGACCAATTTGATGCAGTGTGGGGCGTATGGTCTGAGCACTGACAGGTTGTGCCAAGTCTCCAAAGTTCTAACTGTGTGCAGCACGGTCCATGCAGGTTGATTTTATTAGTGGAAAATAAACTGGCGAGACAACTGCCAGTACAGCAAAAAAATCCACATTGGCATACAAAAAGGATCATGTAGATCTTGTTCAAGCACATGGGTATTGCAACTAAATTTAATATCAGTTGATATGTTGGCAAATGATTTTGCACCACAAGAACAAAAATGCTATAAAGTCTTCAAAGACCTAGTTTAAAAAGAATCATATCATGCCGCATTCCCAGAATTCAGGACAAACTATTATAAACTGGTGGGAAGGAAAGCACTAGTATTATAGCATGTCGCCAATGTGATGTTAACCTCAATTTTCTAACCTGTATTAGAAATGCATTACAGCAGGAATAGGTAGATTTCCTTTACCCAAGATGTTATAAATGAGTCTCTGGGATCTGCTTTTCACCCAGATGTTGGTCTTTATTCAAAATGAAACATTGTAAGTGCAAAGTTAAGCATGACAGCCATCACATTTAAACTGCAGCCAAGTCACATTCTATTATTCATGTAACATAAGGCGAACTTCACAAGGAAAGAAAGTGCAGTCATTGTTAACTTCATACATACTTCCCAAGAACACATATTACCTACAATTTGCTAATGGGTACAAAGGAGCATGTTCGTGCCGATGTCTCAATATGGTACCAATACTATGTCACTTCTAAACAAGCCATCTTCAAGATTCTATCCTAATTACTCACTTAGTGGGATATTCTCAGAAATAGTAACCTCTTGACAACTTTTTCTTTTCTCCTGAACATTGAAATTGTTGTATTCCAAGCTTAGCAATCAACAGGAAGTTCATCTCATTAAATGATGAAAAAACTCACATATAGCTGAGCCCTAAAACGATAAATGTTATGAGTATGGCTATACCATGCTTGCAAAAATGCGAGTAAGTAGAATTTTAAAATATATTATTAAAGGGCAAGTCTGTTTTTTAAATTGTTTTTAATTATTATTTGAAAAGTTTACTGTATATTACTGTATATAATTTTGTCTATGTACATTTAATGTCTTAAAAATTTTCTGTGTATAGTAAACATATTTGTTCATTAGATATGTAGACTGTCTCAGTATCTTTCTGCTCAGGCTCTCTATATAACGTATCCTGTCATCTGAGCAATTGTTCTCTAGGTGCATGTTGTCAATAGAGACTCCACAAATAGGTATATAAAGTATAATCCTGAAAATAGTGAAAAGCAATAACATGAAAACTATTTTCAGGAAAATGTTAAATTTAATGACAGTGTGTGTATACAATATAATATATATATATATATATATATATATTTTGGTCTCTAAGGTGCATATTGCATGTTGTTGGCATTTTAGGTTAATAAAAAATGTTCAATAAGGTTGGACATACACTTGACTTCTGTGAAAATACCCAAACCATGACAGCAGTCACTGTTTAGCCGAAAATTTTCAGACTGGCTTCTTTGACAATACGATTGCAAAATTGACTATTGTGGAATGGAGGGGTGCTGACTGGGCTACACACTGCTCAAACTTCGATTGAGTCAAAAAGACTTGTATGTCCACCTTTTTAAAGGCATATTGACTTTGAAAACTAAATTTTGCCTGAATATCATACAGATTTATTTTCGGCAGCTGTGTGAAACTGATTGAAACACACTGGGATTGTGAGGAGTGCAGAGGCTGTTAATGTTAACTTTGCAAGGTGAATGTGTTCTGTTGGAATACCCAATCATGTGCTAACAATGGGCCTGTGTTTTTGTTTTAACTTCCCTTGCACATGTTTAAGGGGAACACCGGTTCGCCTTATTTACTTTGCTGAGTGAACTCCTTAAAAAAATTAAGCCCACTAAGTTCCTGACTTCTCTTCACGCTTATCCTTGTAATGGATCTGTCCTTTAAGAACGTCCTCCGTTCATTGTCCTTTCTTTGTGTTCCAGACACTGGCAGGTCCTCTTCACTGAGGTCTCATATCCACAAGCAGACTGAGAAGACAACAAGAGTACGGACGGTTCTGAATGAAAAGCAGCTACACACACTACGTACGTGCTACAACGCCAACCCTCGACCAGACGCCTTGATGAAAGAACAGCTTGTAGAAATGACTGGGCTCAGCCCGAGAGTGATCCGGGTCTGGTTTCAGAACAAACGCTGTAAAGACAAGAAGAGATCCATCTTCATGAAACAGCTACAGCAGCAGCAACAACTCAGTGACAAGACGGTAAAATACGCCTATGGTCAATAGTATGACGAGATTCACGCTGTTTATGAAGTGTCGGGGATATTTTTATGCGGTGACTGATCTGGGATTGCTCCAAGCTCATTGATTGGGATGCTCAATATTCAGTAATAATATTGATTAACTCTTTCATGCAGAGCTGAAATAGATTAGACATGTAAAATGGTAAACAATGAAGTAAACCTAGTACAGAGTTACATGATGGCCATTTAATGTTTTGTGTGTACAGATCTGGAAAGATTCGCAGTTCCACAATAAAGGAGATTAGCAGAATGGGACATATACCTGGGGTTGCCTTCCATATGTATCACACATTCTACAATCATTCATTTTGATTGTAATTTAAAACTCCAAAGCCATGCCGATAAAAAGGGCACACATATAGCTCTGTATTCATTAAAACATAATTAAATGTTTTTTGTTTTCATTAGAAAGCAGTCTAATTACCTGAATTTGACTTGGTAGCTGCACCTTGCAATCCCCTGTACAGTGAAGCTCGGACTAGGAAAGGAAGATGGCGCACAATGAGCCAATCAGGTGTTCTGCAGAGTAACACGGGAATTAGCTCATCATTTTGCTGCTTCTCCTTTTCACTGTGCAGTCACATACTGGGGGAGGGACAAGACCTGTAAGTTTTACTTAACTGCAGCAGAGATGAATCGGGTCTCCTGTTCTGCCAGACAGAGCTGTCTTGCAGGGCTGTGTAATTCTCAGGACTGGATGATAGAAATGCATATGCTTTACCATATGTGAATTAAACTGTTTGCCTGTTGTTCAGCTTTCTGTTTAGATCTTTAGTTCCTTGTAACACTACCGCTTTTAGACCTTTTCTCTTCTTTCCAATTTCATCACTCTTAAAAAAGAGACTAAATATGAAAGATTAATCAGCAATCTCTTGCACTAGCTGATTCCATACGTGCTCATTGTAGTCACCAATGAAAAAACATTTTTATAAACGCGCACACAATACAATTTGGTCAGATAAAGGAGTTCTCCATCTTATCCAATGGATTTTACATGCAGTCCTAAACTGATTTGTCAAGTTAAAAAAACTGATGACAAAATTGGAAATCTTACAGAATGATTGCAGTGTGTACAGGCGTCTTGGGGTGATGCGGTTGTTCATTGGTTTGCCATGCCTGTAAACTACTGTAGTTTCTGCCTCTTGGTTATTACTAACCATGTTTGTCTTTTTAGAGTCTACAAGGGTTAACGGGTACGCCGCTTGTAGCTGGAAGCCCCATCCGCCATGACAGTGCCGTTCAGGGCAATGCAGTAGAGGTACAGACCTATCAACCACCCTGGAAAGCGCTCAGTGATTTTGCATTGCAGAGTGACTTGGATCAACCTGCATTTCAGCAGCTGGTAAGAAGAAAGCATGTGTGATAGAGAAGTACAGGCACAATGTCTTCCACAGAGTTTAGGATGGCAATTCACCAAAATTAATTGTAAAGGAGCACAAGAGGCACAAGATTTAAAAGTTTACATTCACTTAAAACCGTAACCATGAAATTAAACCTCAGAGTATAAAAATATAGGGGCTGCTTTTGTTGACTGTTTGTAGAGTGCAGGCTCCAGGGCAGTTATCCTGGTCCTGCCTTAACTATCCTATGAGTCACTGACCTGAAAGAACCATGCAGGTTCTGGAATCTTAGCCTTCTAACAAACATTGGCATTAGTAGCTGCTATTGTCCCTTTAGGAAAGCAGTGCATTTAATAAGATAGACTAATCAACTGCAATCCTGACTTGTGGCAAAATGTGAGCTGAGTGAATATGTACTTGGTCAACATCAGTTATTCTACAAAAAAAGAGCTCAGTGCAGAGACATTGTTACCCAGGCATGGATGGTCATCCCCCAACGAAAGTGGCATTGAGTTGTTTCTATCATTGGTGTATTGTTACTGGCCCTGCTTACCATTGTGATTTGCAATGTACATCTGAGACCTTCCACGCTTCCCATTTGGGAAGAATATATGTATGGGTTCACTTCCCTTACTGAGAGCACTTTGCCCACCTCAAAATTTGTTAGAGAGCCAATGAGTACACTCTTCTCAACCTCTGTTGGAGAGCCTGTAAGTACATCCACCTCAAACTCTGTTGGAAAGCCAATGAGTACACCTACCTTAAACTCCGTTTGAGAACCAGTGAGTACACCACCTCAAACTCTGGCAGAGAGCCAATAAGTACACCCTTTTCGATCTCTGTTGGAGATCTTATGAGATCTCACAGTGAACTGATGAGATATCCCTAGAAGGAGCTGGTGATGTACCTTTTCTCAGGAACCATCTGTGGGGCTCTGACTAGGTCACTAGTGCTTCAAAAGACTAGGAAGTGGGATTAAGTTATATGTAAGTAAAAGATTAACTGTTTTTAAAAAAAAAAAAGACTTTTAGGATTTGCATGCAGAAATGCATTTACAAGGGATTTTTTTTTCATTGTAGAGGGGAAGGGTCAGCTTTTAATCCAAGAAATTTCAGTGCTGCAGAGTACACTATAAACATACATGATTGGCACTACTAAGCATAAGGGTTTGGAGAGGGAGGAGGGAAGAGGTAGACCTCGGCTTAGCATTGTGTTTGAAACCGGTTTTCTAACCTCTCTGATCAACTGTTCCCCCTAAAATGATAGGCCAGAGGTGATTGCAGGCTTAAATTCACTGCCTCATCTGATCTGACCATCTCATGTCTATCCATACCTGACATCTAGGCTCATATAAGAACACTTTACTACCATTGCTAAAATATTCTGCATATATGATGACATCAGGGACCTTCTCTCTAACCTCCTCCAGTGGAATGATCCAGTGATCATCAGATCAGACCAGAATTTGCATGCTGTCATTTTCAGTTTAAAAAGGAAATCGGTTGCATGAAAGACGCTGAGTGTTGATAGTTTCTCATACATACATACATACATACATACATACATACATACATACGCTATCTGTATCTATCATATAGCACTAAAAACAATCATCTGATGAGCAAGATCTAGAGACTTGGCAGAGATTCTTATTAACTGATGATGATAAATCTTTGTAAGGTATATTTCTTCAGTAAAAGGATTTGTAGTGAAGGAGGTAGTGGAGTGTAAATCCGGAGCTTGTAATAAAGTTAACAATGACTTGTTCAGTGATCAAGCACAACCAGTTAAAGCCAGTTACTATGTCTGCTCTTGTATAGGAAGTATGTGTAAACATGGAGGTTTACATGGTACATACATAGTTGTACTCACACTATCATCAGAGCAAGTTTAACTAGTCATAAATAAATCTCTGCTGTGTAGAAGGAAAACATGTATAAAACAAAATATACCTTCTCTGAAAATGTCCCTCGTTTATACTTGAGTCCTTACTTTCTTGTCCTTTGATCATTTGTTTGCTTTCTACTTTGCCTCATATCACATTTATTGCCTTTTTAGTCTTGTTTCTTTAAACTCACTTTATTGCCTTTTAACTTTTTTTCCTTTTTTAATTGTACTGGTTTTCACTTCTTTTGTCCTCCTTTCCAGAGCACTGACCTCTTCTGTGTATGGATGAAGCGATAAAGCAAAAATCCAGGGAAACACCAAAATAAATATGAAATATTTATATATTTTCCAATTGCATGGTTAGACAGGTGATGCACTTCATCACCTCTGTCCAGTGAGCTAACCCAGGAAGCAGTAATGCTTACCAGGCGGGTAAAACATGCCATCAGTGCATATGAATGTTTCCCCAGAGTTCTGCTTTAACTTTACTGAAGTTTTGGGTATTGTTGTCTTACTGGTTCAGCTATTAGCTCTTCAGTTATGGAGCTATTCGTAATGTGTAGAATAGCTGTACATACAACTTTTCTGGTCAAACCTTGCTTATTTTACAGATTATTTAGCCTGTTTATAAAAGCTTATGTGATTGTTTTTTGCTGTATTTGTTAACTATGTCTTTATGTATAAAGAGGCTTTTACAGCGCATGGACTTTGAAAACAAGATGTTTACATGGCTAGTACAGCATTTTGACAGTGGAGAACGCAATTACTTGTAATATATTGCTTCTGTTAAGTTCTCCAGGGTTTGGCATGGATCCTGATAATTTGACACATTACAGCATTTTATATGCAACCCACCTCAGTGCAGCGTTGTGATGTGAACAATTGTTTTCTTTGTGCCCTTGCATTGACTCTGCATTTATCTGTGCAGCTAAATGCAGATTAACATATATGGTGTTAAGAAAGTACCCTTAGTTCCAAATTTTCAAAGACCATTTTACTGCTTTACTTCCGTTACCATGTCTGTCCTTTTTATAAATGAGTCGGAATACGGCTGGTAGACCGGCTCCCACGAGTGGTATACAAGGAAATGGTGCACATATTTCTGTAAGCTGCTTCTTTATGAACCGGCCCTTAGGCCAGCTTCACTCCTATGTGTAGCAGTTTTTCATTGCCAATCTGAATGCCACCCCAACACACTAAAGGAACCCACTTCCAAAACAGATGCATTGCAGAGCACCACAACACTTAGTAAAGCATTACCATGCATTGTGGTGCGCTGTGTTGGAAAAAAATAGTGTAGGTGTGTTCTCTGGTCCATTGTGGTGTATTTGCAGCTTATTCAAATGAACGGTCTGCTTTAATGCAGCATACATTAACGTGTGTGTGTGTGTGTGTGTGTGTGTGTGTGTGTGTGTGTGTGCGGATGTGAATGGGACCCAAATTATTATATTTTTATCTCTGTAGAGTTCTGGTTATTGTCTGTTCCCCGGATTTGCAGCTTACACTGCCATTCTTTCTCTCTTCCAGGTATCCTTCTCAGAATCGGGTTCTCTAGGTAACTCTTCTGGGAGTGATGTCACCTCCTTGTCCTCCCAGCTTCCAGATACCCCAAACAGCATGGTCCCCAGTCCAGTGGAAACGTGAGGTCTTCAGGTTAGGACTGAGCAGCATGGACCCCGCATGAAAACCCCTTCACACTTTGAACGATGAACAAACCCAGGCATTCACCTTGCAGGACATTCTCCCCATCAATGGGGCTGTGTGCATCAGTCTGGAACCTGCACACCTCTGACTTTATACTGGGATTTGGGAAGAAAACAGGAATTTTATAGTTCTTTTTTGAACTCGTCTCACCCACAACTCATCTCAGACGAAGGTGACTCTGATCCGGGCAGAGTTTCTTCCACCACTAGTGACGTGATCGTCTGCTTTCAGTGTTCTAATGGCTGAGACTCTGTCTTCTTACCTGAAGTCATGGGATATAGAAATATTTATAAGTATCAAATGCTGAGACGTTTGAATATGATAATTTATCTTGTGGATCGAGGACTTTATTATCGAACAAAAAGTAAGTTATTAATATTTATTGTCAAAATTGCTGTTACATTGATTAATATGAAATCTTAATAAAAAAATAATGTAAATGTCTGATGTGTCATTAACTCTTTAAAACCAATGTATGTGCAGAAAATAATGAGGTTTTCTACTGGGGTATATTAACTTGAATGGTCAGTCTACACAAAATTATAACTAAGTTACTGGTGGAGTCAAGTTGGATGCTGGCTTCTTATATCTCTTCCTTGGACAACCCACCATTTAAAATAGGCTGGGACTGGTGGTTGGGGCCAAACTCCATAATTCATTTTGTATGTAATTATTTTCTGCATTAGCCAAAGGATATTTAAGATGCTTGTTCTAGATATTGCTGAGACGCAGCAAAGAGTGTGATTGTTTGATTGCCCTGTTAGATTGTGACTAAGGAGAATTAAAGCTAAACTCCAGCTTAATACCAAGGTGCATTCCTTAAAAAGTAATTTCATGTATTTGTATATACATCTAATACCTAAATCTGCCATGATACCAGCGTCCTGTAATCCCCATCAGTCAGACTGCCAGTGGCTGTATGCACAATGTGTTGACAGGGAAACTTGCTGAAAAGAAGTTGTTGATGACCAATCGTTGTGCTTTTCCAATCAGCAGTCTTTGGGTGGGGCGTACAACCAAACCGTTGCTCTAGGTTTGGATAGACTAGGAAACCCAATCATTGTTTGTCCCGGAGATGAACCAGAAAGTGAGAGGGAATCTGTACAAAGAGAGGGGGTTCCCCTTCTTAGACCGTTTTTTTCTCCAGAACACGTGTCCACATTAGAAGATTTCCCCTCACCTCTTGTGGTAACAACTGTACAATTTTGGATGTCCCCATCATTTCTCTCCCAGAGACACTGGTCCATCAGGACATATAGGGAGGATAAATCTAACCTAGCAGGAGCCAGATAGCAGAAGAAATCTGACAGGGGCTCCAATCCTTCCATACTCTATCCAATACTAAAGAAAGTTCTGGCTACACAATCACTTTAAGTGATAGCATGCAACTGTTTGCAGGAAATGTTCTTACAATAGACACATGGAATGTTCCTAAACTCATAGACTGAGTAACTATGTTTAGTCATTTACAAGTAACCTACGTTCCTTTTCTGGAGCTGCCACGAGCAGTCACTGTACTAGGTGTCCTTGTCTGCTCTCCCCTATTCTAATGTATGTATTCTATCATTGCCGTATTTATACATCCTGCTGCCCTCTGTACATATTAATGATGATCTTTTGCACGGGTTCCGCACTTTTTTGTCTCCATTATTTTTCAAAGCCACAACCAGAATGTGCAGCATACTCCCTCTGTGTATACACTAGATAGTATACACCATTCCATTGTTACCTGCACAGAACACTAAACAAAAGAATGGGATGGTGGTTGTGTTGTGTGTTGCTCGATGTGTTGAGCCTTGTGTCTACTCTTAAAAAAAACAAACAACCTTGCCCCACCACTATTTCTTACTTCACCTGCTGAGGTCTACAAGTGGCCGGAAAAGGCAAACTAAGTGTGTACATTTTTTGACTTTGTGTTACCCGCGTAAAGCTGCCTTTTATACTGCTGGAATTCCAGCCGAGTCCTGCTGACTTGATTTTTCAGTTGACTTTTGTTGTGGGATCCAGACTCCAAAAAATTGTTGGCTGAACAGTGACTGCAATTTGGGTATTCTGACAGTTGATGGTGTCGACTGTCAGAATACACTAGCCAGCAGTGGAAATTCTTCTGTTGTTGTTTAAGGATGGATGGGGGAATCAAGTTTTTGGCCAGCTTAAGTCTTCTGCTTCAGACACAGGTCTACTAGGGTCTGATGGGAAATGGAACTCTGAATTTTGCATCTACTGGGGACAGAACAAATAATTAAGGGAATGGTATTGAGAGAAATATGGAGGCTGCTATTACGGATCTCATCCTGAAAATGCTGCTTGTCTGGGGTTGATTGTTCCTAGTCTAGAGGTTGTTCATTTAGCAATGGAAATGTTCATTAAGCTTGCTGAATGTGAACCTATGTTCACTTCCAATGCACAAGTATGCCAGAAAGAAATAATAATAAAAAGGATCTTGCATGTGATTGGATAACCTCACCCTACTCACTAAGCCAGGGGTAGGCAACCGTGGTATTCCAGCTGTGGTTTAACTACAAATCCTATCATGCCATTGCCTCTAGGAAACATGTCTGTGGCTTTCTGAGGCTTGAATTGCCTCATGGTACTTGTAGTTCCACAACAGCTGGAGTGCCCAATTTGCCCAACCCTGCACTAAGCTATTTGAAGAGACCTTAACGCAGCTGTGATTGGAGAAAATGTAATTGGTGTATGGAAGTAATGACAGCTGTGATTGTAATTTGCTGTACCATGTTGCTGTACTTGTTCTACATGCTGACGTAGGTCATTATTGAGGCAGTAACTGAAAACTGCAACGACACACCAGACTAAATCTTCATCGTCCTATAAGAATGTGGCGTTAAACGCGCCAAACACAAAAACCCATACAAGTCAATGGCGACAGTTCACCCCTCAGTGTTGCGCGTTCGATATGGCCTGTTGCACAAAAAGATGCAGGAGCTATTTTCAGGCGGATGCCGCGCAGATTTGGTCCTATAGACATCCCTATGCATTGAGAACAGCGCATTGTTCGTGCAGTTTTTAAAATCAAAGTTGCACAAAAAAGTGCGGCAAACGCACGAAAACGGCTCGACCACCGCAATCGTCTAGGTGTGAACCAGGCTTTAAATAATTAGAAAGAAGCTCTTCTTGTTATGTGATCTCCACTGCTGTATTCTGATTGGTGCTAGGCTAAAGACAAACCTTTGTATGTAGACCGCAGTTTATATTCTGGTGTACTCAGTTGTCTTATAATGAAGTTTTTATGTACAGAATGAAGTTTTTAGCTGGCATGTTGGAATAGTTCTAGATGGTTTTACGCATGTTTTACCCGGCCTCTTTTCCCTCTGTAAAAAGAAGTCCTGGAGTAAAGAAAACTAGCACAAAATTAGAGTTGTTGCCAATAGTGTTATATAGTTTTTCCATAAAATAAAACATAAAAACCAATTAGTTGCTAAGGTTATAATATATAATGAGAGCGCCTGTATGACGCTTCACTAACTCCCTGAACGTGTTTGTTAGATATCACGTTAAACCACATAAAGAGTACTTTATTAATAATATGTGTCCCATTTTCTACCACCCCGTAATCAGAAATATTAAGGGCCAGCAGTCCAGAACAGGGGAATAAAGGTAGACATACAGGTGAAACTCGAATAATTAGAATATCGTGCAAAAGTAATTGCAGTAAGTGCTGCAAAAGGGGCCCAAACCAAGTACTGAGTCCATATGCATGCTGGTACTTTTCAGAGGTCCGATATTGTTCTATGTACAATCCTTGTTTTATTGATTGCATGTAATAATCTACTTTTTTGAGGTTGTGGATTTGGGGTTCTTGGGGTTTTCATGAGCTGTAAGCCATAATCATCACAATTATGACAAATCACGGCTTGAACTATCTTGCTTTGCATGTAATGAGTCTATCTCATATATTAGTTTCACCTTTTAAGTTGCATTAGTGAAATAAATGAACTTTGCACGATATTCTAATTATTCGAGTTTCACCTGTATAGCCAACCCAATGAGAACGTTGACCCAACAGTGACTGCTGACTCTTAACAGCTCTCAGAATAAAATAGCTGTCAGGGGAGATTCCTCCATCCACACTGTTTAGGGATAGAATACATTGAGTGATTCCTCCCATTCAGTCCAGTGAGGAATTTGTTTTTGTGTATTAACCCTGGTAGTGGGGCTACCCCTGCACTTTAAGGGTAAAGTGCTTGTTTTTATCTATGGTCAAAAATAACAGTTATACTCACCTGATCCTCCGAGCTGGCTGTGACAGCGCTCCCTCTAGCCTGTCTCCTCTTTGCTGCAGCGATGGTATGTCCCTCGATGTCCTCACATCCAATACATTGTGTATAGAACATGACAACTCGGGACCTTAGACCTCTGCAGTGGAGGGGGAGCGAGGAGCGGATCGGGTGAGTACGAGTTTTTAACTTAGACAAAAACGAGCACTTAACTCTTCCAAGGCAGGGGTAGTCCCACAGCAATGGTTAAAACATATTTTATCCAGAGTCCTGCTTTAAACCCCATCCTTGACTGTTGTCAATGGACTTCCCACCTCCCGTTCCCGTGATAACTAACATTTTAAATTGCATTGACTTTTTTGCTTTAGAAATAATGTATAGAACCCTGTGAGAAAGTACCAGAAGAAGAGTCCAAAACACAAAAGGATACAATAAGAGTCTAAACATCTTATAAAGTAATGAAACCTCTTATAAAGATATAATGTTATAGATATTATAAACACCTTTTAACTTTTTTTTTAAATAGAAATAATGTATAGAACCCTGTAGAAGAGTCCAAAACACAAAAGGTACAATACTAGACAGCATACAATAAGAATCTAAACATCTTATAAAAGAAAGGTAATACATAATTATAGGAAAAGGAAAGAGCCTCAGAAAATGTCGGCAATTTCTTTTCCTACCTGGTAAAAGCCACACCAGTCACCACAGCCAAGAGTGATAATACTGAAATCGCAGAGAACAATACAAATCTGACCAAGGTCCTAACACAAGGAGGAAAACGTTTTGAGTGGAGTTGCACTTTAACTGCCCCTCTACACAAAGTCCTACAAGCCTCATAGAGGATTGCAGTGT